CCAGTTGTGAGAGTGATGGGATATCAGAAAGGTCCAAGACCTCTGAAGTAGGGAGAAGAAAGCCTGATTTGGATCTCCACATCCTTTGAGTGCCCAAGTCCTGGGCTACGGTATTCAGAACAATTCTTTCTTCAACTTCTGTCCCTTTATGAGTCTCTTCACGTCTGCTTTCCATTCGTATTAGGTTGCAATCCTGAAGTGTGTTGCAATATCTCCTTGTTGATAATCTGTGCCAGTACTAAGAAGGTTTGGCTACAAACTCTTCTCTGACCTGGACATTTAGATTCTGTACATAAAATCAGCTCTTACAAAGCTAAGATTAGAGAATTACTAAGGTTTTTCTGATAAATTATTTTTTCACCAAAATGATGCATCTTCAGAGAGATAAAACAGTTCTCAACTGTAGCGTGAATTTGGTAAATAGCCAAACATCCATAATTAGTAAATAAAATCTTCCTAAATTTCAACACTTTCAAGAGTGTTTAAAAGTTTTAAACATTATGTTTTAAGTAATTTTCTAATGTGATTATTCTGAAAGTTTAAAAATATTTAAAGTTTCATAATACTGTTTTAGGATTAGTGAATGTTTGGTATGATCCAAATATATGTTTGGTTTCAATATGTTAGTGTATTTGAGGTTTTGTTGTTGGAAAAATACAAGTGTTTTCATTTCAGACTGACCTAGGCTACATCCAGAATACACGTTTTGGCTTTTGCTTTTGTGATGTACCTGATGGCCAGACCCTATAACAAAGTTAGTTACTCAAAAGCCCTCGCTACTTTTCTCCCTGTGAGGAATGAACATGAACCTAATAGAAGGATCACAAACCTACTTCCACCTGATCAAGTGCTAATTTCAGGAAAATTGTCCATATAACATAATTACAAACACCAAAATGTTGTAAAAGAATGTTCCTTGAAGCCCAAGCACTCCCAGAGGAGTTGCCATCCAAAAAAACTTCATTCAAAGTGCTGATGAAAATGTAAGAGGGAGAAAAGCACTCCTGATTATTTTTTGTTTGGTTTTATTTTTTTCCCTAATGTTTCACCCATTACTGCTGTGAAACACATACTTGCAAAATTAGGCAGTGGAAGTGAAGAATGCAAACTCAGCACCGTCTTATGTAGCAGACTGGTATTTAACCACCCCAAAAGGAATAAATTACTGCAGTTATGTTCAGAAATAGATACATGGAGAACAACAAAACAAACAAGGACTTCTGACGGACAAAGCAATGGTAAAACAAGCATACTTGAGTGCCCCAGCATCAGTCATGCTCTGCAGAGCCACCAGGGTAAGAGAGTGCAAATTGATACTCACAGAACTTCACCAGAAGGTACTTGGTTTCCTTCAATGCTCTGTCAAAGTTGCTCTTTTTCAGCAAGAGGACATTGTTCTCCTTTTTTATTTTGGGAAGCTTGTCTTTCTTTAGCTTTGCTTCATTTGGGCTTATGGTGTCTGCTGCCAGGAAGCCCATGAGAAACAGCAATAGAAGAAGGAAAAGCAGATGTGTCTTCATCTTGTCCTGCCTTTATCCAGATACTGAGAAAGAAAGAAACAAAGGAGCACTAAGCAGCAGGTTTTGCTGCTCATATGGCTGTGGCCGTATCAGCCAAACCAAGAGGCTGATAAGGTTGATAGAGGAGTCTACCACCAGTGGAGCCAACTGCACCTTTCCACAGCAAGGTTAAGATAGTTAACTACTTCTCGATCTTTAGCAATGTTTAGGAGGAAAAAGTATCTGTGGGAAAGTTGGGTTTAGTGTTTCTGTAACAAAACCCTGGGGAGAGAGTGAGAGAGAGAGCACAGGAGGAAATGCTTGCAGTCAGTGCACTTCTGTAATTAGACACCCTGGTGTTGTCAGCGTTACCCAGTGCAGGGCTGTGGACAAAACAGCAGGTGAGGTACCTGGGACAGTATTTGAGGGTTGTCTCTTGCACTTATGGAGCTCCTTATTGTGGATCTGACTTGAGAGTGTGCTGGTCAGGGAAAAACTCTCATTGTTTTGTATATGTAATTTTAATATCTGCATCTCTTCAGTGTCTTGTCTCTGAGGCTCCTTTCTCTACTTAAGTGCCAAGCTGTAGCTCAAGTAAGATACTACTTTGTGGGTTAAACCATTGGTTTTCAGTGGTAGCACAATTTCATGCAGCTATAATATCTGCAATAAACCAAAGGGACTAAATGTACTATTTCATCTTTGGATAGCTATCAACCATGCCTGTGAACTACGAGGCCTTTCTAGCTTGTCTTTTCAGAAGATTTTAAAAAATATCTTACAAAAATATTGACAAGGTACCACTTACTAAGAAATTATTATTTCTGTAAATATCTGTAATTGTAGCAGAAACATTTTTGACCCTTAAACTGTGCTGAAATTTGTGAACTGTGCCCCCAGAGCTGCAACCTCTTTATAGGGGATCAGGCATCCTAGTGGTTGTTTTGGTTGAACAAAGGATGGAGCTGACCTGGGGACAGATGGGTCTGGATTAGTAGAGCCAAACTGAGAGATAAAGGAATTTCTCCAATAATGACTCTTCCTTCTCGAGGAGTAGTAAGTGCTGCTTTGCTCCTCATACCCTTAGCAGACTTTTTATCCAGGAGGGTACCACTAAAAGGAAGGAATGTTCGTGGTAGCCTCTATTTTGTGGAGGGTGAAGGATCTTGTGTGACATGTTGCTTTAGTTTAGGTTGTTTTTGTGCCTGGTATGAGTGGGGCTGGGTTTCAAGAGAACTCTTTCGTAAGTCTCAAAGGGTTTAGGTTGTAATGCACCTTAAGATGTGCTCTATTTGTACTTGTACAGGGTGCCTAATGAAATCAGAAGGAGCTGTGTATTCAGGCTGCTTGCAAGATAAGATCACACATAAATACAGATTCAGCGATTAGGTAGTAAAGGAAAGAAAAAAAAAGCAGAAAGATAAGAGTCTCCCATTTGACTTTGTGGTCTCTTTCTCTTCATAACACACTCTTTTCCATAGATGTCTTTCAAGTAACATCTTAGTAAGGTTAAAAACCATCTTTCAGAATTACAGGTTAAAACTGACAAGGCCTGTTTGATCTGAACAGGCAGTGTTGCAAGCTCAGAATCCAGCCTAAGGCTCCCAGAGCACAGGTAGGATGATAGAACCATTTGAATAGAGAGCTGGTTTTCCCCTATCTGCCACTGAAATAAATAGCAGTCAACTTAAATCCCTCCTGAAAGCTTCCTACCAGGAAACAGGCACCATTTTGGAAGGGCTTCTAAGCTTTGTGTCCTGGAAAGGATGATCATACAGCAGTGAAACGAGGATCATACAACAGTCCATCCTGCCAGGACAGTTTGCAATGAGGAAAGAAGTGGGATTTTGCAGAGCTGAACAGAAAATTGAAACTGGTGGAGTACAACGTTTTCTTTTAGACATACACCTGTATATTGTACAGGAAACACTAGGAGAAACTGGAAGTGTTGGCATTTTCTTTGCAAGTTTGATTTATGACAAGTATCTTTTCCCAGGTTGCACACTTCATCTGAAGTGCAGAGCAAATGGAACTCTTTGGCATTTCACCTGTGCTCACCCACTGTTTATTTTGTGTTTATTCCATGTCCCCAAAGAAAACAGAACTCACAAGGAAATATTTCAGGGATTCATCGGTTTTACTGGTGCATGAATTCAGTATGACTCGCCATCTAGTGCATATTTAAGGCATAGCATAATTACAGAGACCCTTTTAAGTCAAGGTGATACTATCCTCAAAGCACTTAATAACTAGTGGCATTTTATTTCTAAAAGCAGGCAGAGTAAAATATAAAATTTACAGGAATAAGACAGATTTAGAAAAGGACTGGTAAGTGAAATTTAGAGATGAGATATGAGAACCATTCATCAGCTGACAAAGTGGAGAAGAAAGATTCTAATGAAAAAGCAGTGCACAATCTCTTTGACAGATAAGGAGGAGCATAAAATACTAGGGGAAAATGAGGATGTGCACAAACAACCTATTTATTCAAGATGGTTTGCATTAATTTATCCAACATCATAAACAAGACAGCATCCAATACCTCACTAGTTTTAAATGTATTTTCTTTCATTTCAGGGGACTGATTCCTTAGCTGTATTCCTGACTTTTTCCC